ATATATTATATTATTATATATATATATTATATAATTTTTTATTTTAATATATATTTTATTATTTTTTTATTTTAAATTTATATATATAAGAAAGAGAGAGTGAAACGGCTACGGTCGGGGGGATGAGAAAAACACTAAAAAAAAAACCCGATGTGGAAAACACGAGCAGCATATGAACACTTGTGGATAAACATGAACGCATTTGACCGCTGTGGATAAACTGAACAGCAGTAGAACGTTGGGTGAACATAAAACAGCACTTGAAACGTTGTGGGAACATGAATAACAGTTGAAACGTTGTGGATGGAACATAAACAGCAGTTGAAACGATGGGGGATAAATATGAACGCAGTATGAACCGTGTGGATAAAAATAAAACAACAGTATGAACACGTTGTGGTGAAAAGAACACGTATGAACACTTTTGGGATGAACATGAACAGCAGTATGAACCGCTGTGGAAAAATGAACAGCTTTATGAACACGCTGTGGATGAAACTGAAAGCAGTATGAACATGTGGATGAATATGAACAAACTTGAACCGTTGTGGATGAACATGAAAAAACACTATGAAACGTGGGGTTTGAAATGAACAGCACTATAAATAGGTTGTGGTTGAAATAAACAGCAGTTAAACAGATGTGGATGAACTGACGCAGTATAAAACCGTTGTGGTAAACATGAAAGCAGTATGAACACTTTGTGGATGAAATGAACGAGTATAAACACGGTGGATGAACATGAACAACCTATGAACCGATGGGGATGAACATGAACAGCAGTATAAAACCCGTTGTGGATGAACATGAAACAGCAGTTGAACCTTGTGGATAAACATGAACGCATTTAAAAACCGTTGGGGATAAACATAAAAGCAGTATGAACACGGTGGATGAACAGGGAACAGCAGTATGAAACGTTGTGGATGAAAATGAACGCAGTATGAACACGTTGTGGTGAACATAAACAACATAAACACGATGTGGATGAACATGAACGCGTATAAAACCGTTGGGGATGAAAATGAACGCAGTTGAACACGTTGGGGATAAACATAACAACATATGAACACTTTGGGAATGAACTGAACAGCAGTTGAACACGATGGGATGAACATGAACAACATAGAACACATGTGGTTAAACATAACAAAAATATGAACACCATGTGGATGAACATAAACAACACTAGAACCCATGGGGGTGAAATGAAAACACTATGAACACGTTTGGATGAAATGAACAGAGGTATGAACCATGTGGATGAAATGAACGCAGTAGAACACGTTGTGGTAAACATGAACAAACTATGAAACTTTGGGGAAAACATGAACAGCATTGAACCGTGGGGATGAACATAAACGCCCTATGAACAGTTGTGGATGCTGAACAACACTAGAACACGTTGTGGATAAAATGAACAGACTATGAAAGTTGTGGATGAAATGAACAGCGTATGAACACGGTGGTGAACATGAAAACACTGTGAACACGTGTGGATGAACTGAAAGCACTTGAACAGGTTGTGGATGAACATAAAACGCAGTTGAAACACGATGTGGATAAAACTGAATAAAACTATGACAGGAGGGGTTTTGAACATGACAACGTATACACTTGTGGAGGAAACTAAACAAAACTATGAACACGATGTGGTGAACTGAACAGCAGTTGAACACGAGTGGATGTCGAACGCGATAAAACACTTTGGGGTAAACATGAAAAACATTGAAACGATGTGGATGTTTTAAAAACCAAGTTGAACACGTTGTGGATGAAATGAACAACACTATGAACACGATGGGATGAACATGAACGCAGTTTTGAACACGTTGTGGATGAACTAAACAACACTATGAACACGATTGGTTAAAAACAGAAATCAATGAACACGTTGGGGATGAACATGAACAACTATGAACCGATGTGATGAACTGAACAACAGTATGAACACGATGTGGATGAACATGAACAGCAGTATGAACAGTTGTGGATGAACATGAACAGCAGTATGAAACACTTTTGTGGATGAAATGAACAGCAGTATGAACACGTTGGGGGTGAACATGAACAGCAGTATGAACACGTTGTGGATGAACATGAACAGCAGTATGAACACGTTGTGGATGAACATGAACAACACTATGAACACGATGTGGATGAACATGAACAACAATAAAACACGATGTGGTTTGAACATGAACAGCATATAAAACACGTTGTGGATGAACATGAACAACAGTATGAACACGTTGTGGATGAACATGAACAGCAGTATGAACACGTTGTGGATGAACATGAACAGCAGTATGAACACGTTGTGGATGAACATGAACAGCAGTATGAACACGTTGTGGATGAACATGAACAACACTATGAACACGATGTGGATGAACATGAACAGCAGTATGAACACGTTGTGGATGAACATGAACAACACTATGAACACGTTGGGGAAATGACATGAACAACAGTATGAACACGATGTGGATGAACATGAACAGCAGTATGAACACGTTGTGGATGAACATGAACACTATGAACACGATGTGGATGAACATGAACAGAAGTATGAACACGATGTGGATGAACATGAACAACACTATGAACATGTTGTGGATGAAACATGAAAAAGCAGTATGAACACGTTGTGGATGAACATGAACAACACTATGAACACGATGTGGATGAACATGAACAGCAGTATGAACACGATGTGGATGAACATGAACAACACTATGAACACGATGTGGATGAACATGAACATCAGTATGAACACGTTGTGGATGAACATGAACAACACTATGAACACGATGTGGATGAACATGAACAACACTATAAAACCCCGATGTGGATGAACATGAACACAGTATGAACACGTTGTGGATGAACATGAACAACACTATGAACACGATGTGGATGAACATGAACAGCAGTATGAACACGTTGTGGATGAACATGAACAACACTATGAACACGATGTGGATAAAACATGAAAAATCAGTATGAACCGTTGTGGATGAACATGAACAACACTATGAACACGATGTGGATGAACATGAACAACAGTATGAACACGATGTGGATGAACATGAACAGCAGTATGAACACGTTGTGGATGAACAGAACAGCAGTATGAAACACGTTGTGGATGAACATGAAACAGCAGTTTGAACACGTTGTGGATGAACATGAACAGCAGTATGAACACGTTGTGGATGAACATGAACAGCAGTATGAACACGTTGTGGATGAACATGAACAACACTATGAACACGATGTGGATGAACATGAACAACACTATGAACACGTTGTGGATGAACATGAACAGCAGTATGAACACGTTGTGGATGAACATGAACAGCAGTATGAACACGTTGTGGATGAACATGAACAGCAGTATGAACACGTTGTGGATAAACATGAACAGCAGTATGAACACGTTGGGGATGAACATGAACAGCAGTATAAAACACGTTTGGATGAACATGAACAACACTATGAACACGATGTGGATGAACATGAACAGCAGTGTGAAACGTTGGGGATAAACATGAACACACTATGAACACGATGTGGATGAACATGAACAACAGTATGAACACGATGTGGATGAACATAAAACAGCAGTATGAACAGTTGTGGATGAACAGAACACTATGAACACGATGTGGATGAACATGAACGAATTTGACAGATGTGGATGACAAAGACAACCCTATGAACATGTTGTGGATGAACATGAACAGCAGTATAACACGTTGTGGATGAAATGAACAACACTATGAACACGATGTGGATGAACATGAAAAAGGGGATGAACACGATGTGGAATGAACATGAACAGTAGTATGAAACCGTTGTGGATGAAACATGAACAGCAGTATGAACACGTGTGGTGAACATGAACAGCAGTATGAACACGATGTGGATGAACATGAACAGCAGTATGAACACGATGTGGATGAACATGAACAGCAGTATGAACACGATGTGGATGAACATGAACAGCAGTATGAACACGTTGTGGATGTACATGAACAGCAGTATGAACACGATGTGGATGAACTTGAACAGCTGTATGAACACGTTGTGGATGAACATGAACAGCAGTATAAAACACTTTGTGATGAACATGAACAGCAGTTATGAACAACGTTGTGGATGTACATAAACAGCAGTATGAACACGAGTGGATGAAAAATGAACAGCAGTATGAACACGTTGTGGATGAACATGAACAGCAGTATGAACACGTTGTGGATGAACATGAACAACACTATGAACACGTTGTGGATGAACATGAACAGCAGTATGAACACGTTGTGGATGAACATGAACAGCAGTATGAACACGTTGTGGATGAACATGAACAGCAGTATAAAACACTTTTGTGGATAAACATGAACACATATGAACACGATTGAATGAACATGAACAGCGTATGAAACGTTGTGGATGAACATGAACAACACTATGAACACGATGTGGATGAACATGAACAGCAGTATGAACACGTTGTGGATGAACATGAACAACACTATGAACACGTTGTGGATGGCTGCACAAAATAACGCTATAACTGATTCTGCTGTGTCATTCGTCACTTAGTGTTATTTAAATATAAAAGCAAGTTGGTGTGAGAGTGAGGGTGGATGGAGGGAAGGGATGTGAGAGGGAGGGGAAAGGATAATACGATGAAACGGGAGGAACAATGGACTGGGGAACTGGTGGGGAGAAAAAGAATAGATTATTTAACTCGGCTTAAAGCCTATCAGCTACTATAAGGGACATTAAGGCTGCAGTGCCACCTGTTCATCATCATTTGAGAATACGTTAATTACTAAAATAGCGATTAAAGCAAGATTACTCATAGATTATGTAAAGAGTATATACATCTCTCGATATATATAAACTGTGAGAGAGAGAGAGAGAGAGAGAGAGAGAGAGAGAGACGGTGGAGTCAGCTACAGTAGGCAGTGGTTTCATTGGACCGCAAGGTGTGGTCCAGAGAGGAGGTGTCTGATACACTGCGACTCACTTCCCTCACTCACACACACACACACACAGGAGGCACGTCAGTGTTATATTAGTCCCTACATACTGCCACCATGACAACACTAGCTGCATGACACCACTATTAAGAAGATAATTCTAGCCTGACGATATCACCAGTAAGACGATAACGTGAGGTTTTCTGCATTAAGTCAGGAAGCTTGGCTGTGGCAGACTTATACAAGCAACGTGTCTACTTCTTAGTTTGAATTATGACATATTATTGAGTGTGAAGGAAAGTGGTCACTGAAAGTAGCGTCAAGACATTTTATCCCGGAAAAAGGTGTTGGAATGATCGAATTGTGACAGTGAGACGCTCCAGAGAACACATACAAGGTAAGGATGTTTAAGACTGATAAATATTTACCTTAAACGTTGCCTCTTGTAGCTCTTTACTGTATTTGTTAATATTGTTAATAACAACACTGTGCCACCCTCGATTACATTATTTTCTGTCTTTGGTGTTCACTACAATGGAAGTTATAAGTAAAGTCTTCGTCGAAATGTAACTTGGTTAAATTGCGATTCTTTAGCTAATATAGAGATAAGTTCCATGTGTTTTTTTCAGCTTAATAATAAGGATTGTGCAATGGATATAATTTTTGGCTCACGTGGAAAAAACTTTCGGTGACCCCCCCCAAAAAAAAAAAAAAAAAATAATTAACCACCCTAACCAAAAATAACCAAATTTCACTTAGAGTTGGATTTAAATTCTGAGTTAGGTAAAGTTTCCCTTCTTCCCAATATGACCAAAATATAACTATCAACCTTGCACAACCCATCTAATATTGGATAAAATATAAGCACGGGGAGCTTATCTCTACATATACCTGATTAAAAACAAATTAACACTGCCATCGTCAGAGATACTTAAGAAAAAAATTCCATTAAGTATCCAAGTCACTTGTTTATGAGTTAAATACAGTGGATATTCTAAACTTTTATTAAAGTTCCAACAGATGTTCCTCACAGCCTTTGTTTCAAGTTTTATTACCACAAATGATCCAGACTTGGAGACTCGGTTCCTAATATCATGTATATATCTGTATAGATTTTGTGTTTTTTCCCTCGCGCAAATACACTCTAAATCCTATTCATACATATAATAATAATATATGTTATAAAATATTTAATACATAGTGGCTTTTAAATTTTAAGTGAGCGTACAACAGTACTGTGTAAACATTATCTGTGGTTGTATAAGGAAATAGTGGAAGGAAACTCCATACATAGTTTTAAGAGTAAGAATGACAGAAGCTAAGAGGCCAGAGATCAATAATATCTGAACAAGGAACCGAGACTCGACCCCGTGAGTACATATTTGTGCAACAAGCTGACGAAGCTTACGCTGTGAGGGAAGATTTGTGCGTGTGAACAACTTACCAGTAAGGTTAGACGCTACGTCTCAACGTCCATTAACAGTTCAGAAATTATGAGAATGAACGGATAACTGGAGCAGAAAGCCGTAAAATGAGCCGGACAGTATGCAGGACTGGTCCCAGTGGTGTCTACTCCAAAACAACTCTGGTAAGAGGGAAAAAAATGAAATTGGACGTTGGGGAAAGCAGACTGGAGACAGAGTACCACTTAGGAGGGGAACTTCTTAAGGACACAGGCCTGGGAGTAAGTATTGCAACGAACACATCCCCTCGTGGCGACCAGAGTAACATAAAATACTAAGCTGGCAGACGTAAGGATGGATTTTTGATATTTAAACTCAAGTCTCTTTCGAATCATTGTTTAAACTTACATGCAAGCAATCATTGAGTAACTCACCCCTCAGGGGAGGTGCCTTCATATCCAGGAGAGACTCTTGATCCAAGGAAGTGGATCTGTCCTTCCCTTGGATCTAACCAAATTGCTTCCCTTTCCCCGTGAGCCTCGTGACTTATGGGTTTAGCACTTCTTCTTGATAACAATAATAATAATAATAATAATAATAATAATATAATAATATAATAATATATTATTATTATTATTAATCATGGAAGCATCACTTCAACACAAGGCCAATAAAAAAAAAGAGTGAACTACACAGCCACACAAATTGCAGCTTCTTACTTTAGGCGGGTTCAAACATCAAATGATACGGGCAATTTGTTAGTCGACAGTTTAAGAGGAGTAGCCAAGAGCTGGGGCTCATCCCATTCCTTTCCAGAAATTAGGTTACTCGTAGTTCAGTTATAGCGCATTTGGCTCGCGACCAAAGGACCCAAATTCGATCTCAGACAGGTTCAGACTATGGGCAAGTGTTCTTAAACTTGTTGCCCCTGCTCATCTAGCATTAAATAGGTACCTGGTACGAGCGGCATCTAGAAGGGGAGTATAGGGTATGAGCTGAGGTACATAACAGCTCTTAGCGTGGATAACAGGTAGGATAACTCGTAGCGTCGATAACAAGTAGGATAACATCTTTTAGCGTCATAAAAAACCCCACCCTATAATTCCATACCAAAGGAGACATCAACGCTTCACAAGTACTAACCCAACCACCCCTTTCCTCTATATATTCTCTGCTCTCGGTCCTCTCCCATTAAACATCACACCTATATCCTCTCACAAGCTTTCTCTTTCTCTCCCCCAGCCCCACCGGTCCCCCCCCCATTGCCTCATGAGGGATATCTACATACCCACAAGGGGTACATACCTTCCCTTGGCTCCTGGGTCACTCCTCCCTGAAGCCTCACATAACGGTGTGTCCTACTACCGAGGTGCTGTTGTTGCCTCGCTCACACCCACCTGCTCCTGACTCTTATGGTCATCTGGGAGTCCCGAATGTGTGGGTGTGGCCCAGGGTGTGGGTGTGGTCCAGGGTGTGGGTGTGGTCCAGGGTGTGGGTGTGGCCCAGGGTGTGGGTGCATTTGCGTGTGTATGGGTGTATTTAAAGATGTATTTCCCTTGGTCTTTCGTTGATGACTTCTTCCTTTCTCTCTCTCCCAGCATCTTCCTTTCTCCCACCACCCTCCTTCCTTCCTATCTCTCCCACCACCCTCCTTCCTTCCTATCTCTCCCACCACCCTCCTTCCTTCCTATCTCTCCCACCACCCTCCCTTTCCTTCCTTCTCTCCCACCACCCTCTTTCCTTCCTATCTCTCCACGACCCTCTTCCTTCCTTTCTCTCCCACCACCCTCTTTCCTTCCTATCTCTCCCACCACCCTCCTTCTTCCTTTCTCTCCCACCACCTCTTTCCTTCCTATCTCTCCCCGACCCTCCTTCCTTCCTTCTCTCCCACCACCCTCTTTCCTTCCTATCTCTCCCACCACCCTCCTTCCTTCCTATCTCTCCCACCACCCTCCTTCCTTCCTTTCTCTCCCACCACCCTCTTTCTTCCTATCTCTCCCACGACCCTCCTTTCCTTCCTTTCTCTCCCACCACCCTCCTTCCTTCCTATCTCCCACCACCCTCCTTCCTTCCTCTCTCTCACTCCCCTCCTTCCTTCTCTTCCTCCTCCTCATCAGTGTATATTCTCCACCTCGACTCTTCGCTTCCTCTCGCTTCTCAGTCTTCAACATTTATTTCATAAAGATAAAACACAGACTTTTTCGTCTAGTGTTTTTAATTCAAGAATTAAAAAAGTGATGCGCGCATACACACACACACACACACACACACACACACACACCACACACACACACACACACACACACACACACACGCGCGCGCGCGCGCACGCTCGCGTGCAAATTATAGAGCATTTTTTTGTAAATCTCATTGTAGTTGAGAAGTGAAATAAACATGATGCGGAACTAGTGAGTTGAAACTACATACACAGCTTTTAGAATAGGTATGATTGTGCTCAGGAGACTGAAAACTAGTAATGCCGGAAGACGAAAGTGTGTGTGTGTACACTCACCTATTTGTACTCACCTGTACGTGGGTGCAGGGGTCGATTCACAGCTCTTGGCCCCCGCCTCTTCGCTGGTTGCTATTGTGTGTGTGTATCCAAATATTTTGAATCGGAAGGTTGAAGGGAGAGAGAGAGAGAGAGAGAGAGAGAGAGAGAGAGAGAGAGAGAGAGAGAGAGAGAAGAGAGGAGAGAGAGGAGAGAGAGAAAGAGAGAGATATACAGAGATACAGAGAGAGAGAGAGAGAAGAGAGAGAGGAGAGAGAGAGAGAGAGAGAGAGAGACAGACAGACAGACAGACAGACAGAGATACAGCGATACAGAGATACAGAGATACAGAGATACAGGGGTGTCACTAGCACGTTAAGAGACCATACAATAAGTGTCAGGGGCCCGAGACTGTTCAACTGCCTCCCAGCACACTAAGGGGGATTACCAACAGACCCCTGGCAGTCTTCAAGCTGGCACTGGACAAGCACCTAAAGTCAGTTCCGGATCAGCCGGGCTGTGGCTCGTATGTTGGTTTGCGTGCAGCCAGCAGCAACAGCCTGGTTGATCAGGCTCTGATCCACCAGGAGGCCTGGTCTCAGACCGGGCCGCGGGGGCGTTGACCCCCGGAACCCCTCTCCAGGTAAACTCCAGGTAAAACATACAGAGAGAGAGAGAGAGAGAGAGAGAGAGAGAGAGAGAGAGAGAGAGAGAGAGAGAAAAGAGAGGAGAGGAGAGAGAGAGAGAGAGAGAAAAAACGGAAGTAGAGGGAGGGAGGGAGGGGGTTGGGGTGCTGGTGATCCATCTTCTAGTCTGGTTTCGTACACGCTCTGATTACTTTGGTCATCTTTGCACACGCTCCAGATATGCTACTAGGAAATATGTGTATGTTTGTATGTGTCTGTGTTTGTACTCTATGTATGTATATCTACATGCCTGTGTGCACGCATGGTGTTTGTGTGTACTCCTGGTTATTATGGGGTACTTGAGCCATGGCTCCTGGACCACTGCTTGTATCTAAATTGACTGAGTGTATACCGATTACCGGTTGTATCTAACCTTGTCATGCTTACTCTGTGTAATCTATCTGGAATTTACTACTACCATCAAGTGGATGACACACTATAAGTAATATTTCGACTTACTGTGACTACCTGTTACTCACGAAGATTTACTAAACACGGTTGTATTTACGCGTATTTTACATGGTGTAAACACAATTGTCCACTGGTGAACACATGTGATGTACTCACCTGGAGAACCAACTAGTTCTCACTTGTAATCACGGAGTGATTCACCTTGTTATGGTGTCCTATTGTGTACCACAGTATCACACTGTTATCACCGGTGTTCTCACTTGTAATCACTGTAAACCAGGGGTCCACAGGGTGATGGGTGTGTTTGTAATCACCGGGTGTCTCACGCTGTGGTTATCACTGGGTGTCTACCGTGGTGTATTATGTGTCCCCTGGGTGTCTACCTGGGTGTCCTCACCTGGGTGTC